CTGGTTCTCCCTCAAGAGGGTCTGGGAGATGATCCAACCTTAATAATATTGCTAATGGAAGCTGCCTCTCTTTTTAGTCTTTGAGATTCTGTGGATCGTTTTTTCTTTCTCTTAGAGGTCTGCATTACCCAATCCTCCCCCATAAGGTGGTTCAAATCAGTAACCTTTTCTCCTTCAATCACATGATGCAATTGTTGTTCCTGAAATGGATCCTACAGCCTCTCCTCAGAGGAACCAACTATGGGGGAGAGAATAGTGATGATATTGGGTTCCTCCCTTGGCACTTCCTTAGGAGGAGAAGGAGGAGTAATAGAAGTAAAGGGGGTTGGGGAGTTTTGATCCTCATCCTGTATGCCATCCTCAATAACCCCAGGGAGTTGATTGAGGGCAGTTTCCTTCAAAGAGGATTGTTTCATTTTCATTGGAGGGTATAGCCTATAGCACCTATCCCTAGTGTGCCCAAAAATCTTGCAATGTTGACAATAGCAAGGTCTTTGCTCAAGGATTACCTCCTGCCAAAAACCATCCTGTTCAGAGCCTACCCACACTCTTTTAACTTCAGACAAGGCGATATCTCTTTCATTGAGAATTCTAGCAAGAGCAAGCCTTGACTTGTTAAAAGTGTGAGAATCAACTTTAAGGGGTCTCCCTAAAGCAGATCCAATGTTAAAAAGGGCATTCAACTTGAAGTAGGGAATAGGGAGACCAGGAAGCTTGATCCAAAGTGGAACCACAGGAGGTTCTTTACTGGGATCAAAGCCAGGGGTCCATTTAAAAAGTTTCATGGTAGCCCCCCCAATAACTATTGATTGTTTGGCAAAAAGTTTATCATAATCCTCCTCTATTGTCAATTGGATAATCAAATGTCTGCCATCTAGTAACCCTAGTTTCCAAGCACCAGTAAAGTTTAATGGCTCAAAGAAAATCCTAACCAGTTCCATCTTAGGGTGACCCAGCTAAAATTTTCCTACCAAAGTCAGCTTAACCTTCTCATTTAATGAGTTAACTTCCTTGGGAGAGAAATAAGCTATAGGTTCCCCGTCGTTACACCCAATGGGGTGAATATAGGGAGAGGACCTTATGCCAATTAAAGTGTCATGAAATTCTTGTGGAAACACTAATTTATCCATATTTTGTAACTATTCCTTAGGTTTTCCAACCACCCCAACATAGGTGGCATTAGCCCATTGGAGATTAGTGTCCAGAGCAATGCTAGTAGCCATTCAGAGTAGCAGCAACACCAGAGGAAAACCAACAAGTAACAAACCAATAGAACAGTAAACCAAGGGACATCTAAATACTTTCCCACCAAATCCAACAACAAGAGAGACTTCAGCAGAGAAAACCCACCCCAGCCTCCAACAAGGTCACCACCATCGACCAAGTGGTGACCACAGCTCAGGTAAGGAAGGCAGACAAAAGGGCCAACCAGAAGAACAACAACAAAACAACTACAATAACATAAGAAAACCAACAGTAGGAAGAACCTCTAGCCCACCAAACAAACAACAAGGAAGAAGAAGAAATCACTCTCCCCCACCAGCCTACTATATAAACATATGATCGATGTCATAGAGTAGGTAATATTTCAAAGAGAATTGAATTGCCTCCAAATTTTGATTTGGAATTTGAAATTTTTGATGAATGGGGATTGGATTTCATGGGAACATTTATACCTTCAAATGAAAATATTTATATATTGATTACAATGGATTATGTTTCAACATGAACAGAAGCAATCACTTTACGGCCTTTACAGGAGTGTTTCAAAATTTTTAATTAAAAATAATTTTACATGATATGGATTTAAATATATTTACAAGATATGGGATGCCAAGTGTAATCATTACCGATAGAGGATCTCATTAAAAATATAATATAATGCATAAAATTGCAACTGCTTATCATTCCCAGAATAGTGGTTTAGTAGAAGTATCTAATCTCAAAATTAAAAGAATTTTGGGAAAAAGTGTGAATCCTCATAAAATGGATTGGTCTGGTAGATTAGATATTGCATTATAGGCATACATGATAACACATAAGACACTTATAGGAATGTCCCCGTATAGAATAATTTTTAGTAAAAAGTGTCACCTACCTGTAAAAGTGCAACATAAAGCTTACTGGGCTATTAAGGAATTCAATTTCAATTTGAAAGATGCTGGTGAGAAAAGATAACTCCAATTGATCAAGCTTGAAGAAATCATGAATGAATCTTATGATAATACTCAGATTTATAAGGAAATAATGAAAGAATGGCATGATCGGAAGATAATATCGGAAGATAATAAAAAAAGAATTTGAGCCTAGATAAGAAGTTTTATTATACAATACAAGATTGAAATTATTTCCTGGAAAACTAAAGTCTAGAAGGAAATGACCATTCAGATTGGCGCCTACTGCGGTACATTTCAAAGAACTAGCACATGATGCACTAATTCTAAAGTCAATTTTAAAGGGAGACGAACAAAACTGATTCTAAACTGATTTTAAAGTCAATTTTAAAGGGAGAAACAAGGGAAGAGTTACTAGTTTTCAAATTCAAATGGCTTCCCACTCTAAAAATTCCACTAGATTGAGAATTTTCAACTAGAAAAAGTTCATCAGTTTCGATGTGCAGAAGTTATGTGATCGTGTTCTTATGAAGACAATGATAATCAAAGAAATGTTTTTGTGAATCGAGGATTCAATGCTCTAAATACTCGTGTAGAAGTGATTGTTATACAAAGACATTGGGAAGTGCTTTACTAAACTATTGCCACCATAGTTGTACCTGTGGTGAAAGAGTTTTTTGAAAATCTTCATTGAATCAACCAAGGAATTGTCTATGTGTGAGGTAGGTTTGTGCAATTCACTCCTTCAAAAATAAACGAGATGTTTATGATTGAAAATGTGCCTATTTGCCACTATGTGAATTTTACCCATACGAGAGATAATATGAATGAGCTCTATTGATACTTTACAAATGAAGATGCAAATTTGGATGACTGAGATGATGAAAAGATATGTATTTCTTCATCATTGTTAAATCCTTCTTCTAAGGCATGGCATGTCTTTTTTTGCATCAAAATTACTTCCCACTATAAAAATTAGTAAGATAACTAAGTAGAGTGCTATTTTGAACCACTGTATTCAAACTGGAAAACCTATTGATGTTGGAGCAATAATTGTGAAATCGGTTTCAGAATTGATTATCAATTGATCTGCAATTGGATTGCGGCATCCATCCACTATTTTCCTACTATGCAGACAATCGTAAGTACCATATGAGAGTTGGGAGAAAGTGCTTCTTCTTTGGAAGCCGATGGATCCAGAAATCTATTACAACTCTATTGAAATGGGAGATGAGAATGATCTGAATGTACTCATAGATCAAGCATCCTAGGATTCATAACCTATTTGGCCTTACTTAAGTTCAAATGTTCTTTTGAAAAAATTTAAGAAGATAGAAAAAGAGGCATAGAACCTTATGAATGCAATTGGTAATGTTTCTGAAATATTGGATCACCTCGATTGGAGACTGAAGGAACATTTTAAACATATTGGTCGTATTGAAGATGGTTTGGTACGTATGCTCAAGAAATATGCTTGGATTGGGGAAGATTCAACTTATGAATTTTCTTATCGACCCTTCTACAACTTGTACGCACAATACCAATCAATGCGAGATATCCAGTAGGATGAGAGCGAAGAAGATGTTTAAACTTAATTTATGAACGGAACATTTTGTTTAGTACTGCTTATTTGTGTTAACGTGTTATGTTGTATTGAATTTAATTTTATTGTTAAACCCTATTTATGTTTGTGTTTAGTATTTTGATGTTTATATTTCAGTGTTAGGATGCTTCAGTTTTCTTTGGACACGAAAGTAGATGTTTTTTGGCTTGAAAAATGCTAGTTTGTAATAGCGCGGATTTTATATATATAAGTGAGTTTGGTGTTGTTTGTAAAAGTTTGGTGTTAAAGTAATTTTTAAATTATAATTATAAATGTTCATTTGAGTTAATTATAGGAGGACATAAAGCGGTACGTAGCATATTTCCACAGAAACGAAAATGAAATCTGGAAAAATTAAGGCGTTGGCGCTAGATGCGCCAAATTGACAAATGAAGCTTTACAAGAGGTTGCACATAATGCACCAGATTTGGCACTAGATGCGCCAATGTTCCAAAAATGGTAGATTGGCTAAAAAAATATAAAATCACACAGTAAACTCCATTTTTATTGCTTGGATCATCTTTTAACATTAAACTATGACTTTAGGCTTCACATTGTGCGTGTTAGAGAGATTTCAGAGGCCAAAGAACTTAGATTTCATCTTCTATTGATAAGAGCTTAACTTTAACCTAAAAGTTTTTTATTTTCACCATGGAGTTTTTCTACATTATGGAAGATCCATAATTTCAGGTTTTTGATGGAAAAGCTTGAAGAAAAATCATAGTGAAATTTTTCAAACCAAATAATGTTACTTGGGTAGTTAGATTTTTTATTTTGTAATTTATTTGGATTTTTTTTGTATTTTAATAGAAATTTTAGTGGCTCCACGAGTAAAGAGAGGAAAGCTAACAGAAGATTTTGACACAAGAAGATTTGAAAATTTCAAAGCCCAACAATGTTATAACACTGAAATGGAATTAAAAAAGTTGATCCAAGAAAGGGCATTTGCTAAGCTGGGTGGCAAGTTAGAGAGGTTGATCATCGCCAGAAATTGGAAAAGGTTTTTCTACTTCAATGCAATAGTGATTGTACCAATGACTCAAGAGTTTTATTCCAGCTTGAGGTTTACCACTGACGATCACATTGTTGTGAGAGGTAAGCAAGTTGAATTTTCTAAGGAAAGGATCAATGCTTTTTATGGCTTGAGAAATGTATTCCATTGCAAATACGTTGAATTTGTGATGACTGATGCATCACTGGATGAAGTGATTGCTTTTTTTACTCATGTAAAAAGAGATTGGAAGATTAAAAATAATAAGTTAACTTCTTCGCTTTCATGATGACTATTTAGTCAAAAGTTTGGCACCACTTCATCTCTACTAACTTATTGCCAACGAATCATTTAAGTGAAGTAACAAAGGATGGTGCTGTGCTAAACTTCTGCATTTAGAAAATGAAGGCAGTAGACGTTGTTGCTCTCATAATTTATCAGGCTTGGACTATATCTAATAGTGCTACATGTAGGGGATTGTGTTATTCTGCCCTGATTTTCACTTTATGTGAGCAGTCAGGAGTTGAGTTCCATAGAAAAGAGGAAAGGTTGCAGCCAAAAAATCTTATTGGGAAGCTTACGGTTCAAAGAGTATAATCATTTGTTGAGTCTAGGAGTGGAGGTTTTGATAGACCCTCTACATCAGCTGTAGGGACCTATACATCTCACTCTGCTTCACTTGAAAATATTATGGAGTAGCTTATGTTTCAACAAAAGGATATAGCTAATATGCAAAATTAGATTAGAGAAATTGGAACAAGAAATTGTTATAATGATGTGTATAAAAAAAAGAGAGTTCAGCATGATATAGCTTTTGAGGAAGCTATGGTTAGATATCTTAGGGGTGAATACACTGTGGAATTTCCAACTTTCCCCAGCTTCACTCCTTATGCTCCTATTCATGATGAAGAAGAAGAAGAAGATGATGATGAGGAAGAGGAGGAAGGAGATGAGGACTGATATTCTTAAGAGTTTAGTTTGTTTTGTTTGTTTGTCTGTTATTTTTTATTATGTTGTTATTTGATGTCATTTGAAATAGTTAACACAAAAACTTTTATTTTGTGTTGTGGACCTAAATTGTAATAGTAATAGTATATTTTTACTTTTTCAGCATTTTTACTATTTTCATTTTTTGTTTCTATTTTTTTAATTTTTAGCAAATCCTGTAGAATATATTATGTTTCATTTAATGCTTTAAATTCAGCATTTTTAAAGTTAGTACCTGTAGTATAA